CCGCAGCCGCTGGTTCGTGTTCGACTCGCGCCGCTGCTACCTCTACTACTTTAAGAGCCCGCAGGACGCGCTGCCCCTCGGCCACCTGGACATCGCGGACGCCTGCTTCAGCTACCAGGGCCCCGACGAGGCGGCGGAGCCGGGCGCGGAGCCACCCGCGCACTTCCAGGTGCACAGCGCGGGAGCCGTCACGGTGCTCAAGGTGGGACCGCGCACCTCGACTCCCCTTGCTTACCAGACTGTGGACTTGCCCGGTCCTCCCTCCTTTCTCCAGCGCCTCACATCCTGCCCTAGTCTGTCTTTCTTTCTCCACTTCTCCAGTTCCGTCCTCGTTCCGGGTTCATACCTTTTACCTGAATGTAGGCCAGTGTGATTGGGGCTACCCATTCTCATCTCCGTTACCCTAACACTTTGACCCATTATTTCCCTCTGCGATTTCCCTCAGGCCCCTCTGTCGTGTCCTCCCACCCTTACCATTCTGTGGCTGTACTGCGTAAACCTCCCAGGCTTCTATAACTGGAGGTTTCTGCCCCCAAGACCTGCCTTATAACTCCCCCTGTGACCTCGGTACGTTATTTAACCTTTCTGAGCTTCAGCTGCCTTTTCTGCAAATGGATATAGCAAGTAGTAGCTACCTCATAGGCTGCTATGTTAATGCTTTTAATGCTGTTTATGTTTATACACAGAGCCAGAGATGGCAGGGTTCTTAGGAGTAATCTACCACAGTCCCCTCCAGAGTGGGCAGGGATGCTTCAGCCAAGGTGATGCAGCCAGCAAGTGGCAGAGCCTGTTTTCTTGCTCTTTGTTTTGGCTGTGAAAGGTGGGACGGAGTTCCTTCACTCTCTTGTGCCTTGCTTATTTGAGGCTTCCTTACTCTTCCAACGGAGACACACATGTGGGTGATACGGTATAGGAACATGGGGCTAGAGTCAGTTCTGATGCTGAGAGGCCTTCCTATTCTTCGGTTGCCAGGGATGCTAGACCCCATCATCTCCTAGGAGCCCTTCTGCTTTGAGCACCGGGAAGGGTCTGGGCCCAGTCTTAGTGCTGGGCTGCCTCTCTCCCGGCTTTGGCTTTGCTCCCTGCTTGGTTCCTGTGTCTCCACCCTCACTGCTTTTCTCGCTTCTCTTCCGTTTCTTCCGTGTTGCAAGCTGGCTTTCCGCAGAGCAGCAGGGTTGGGCTGGGATGTGTGAAAGCACTCAGAGCTGGCCAAGAGGAGAGCAGAGTGGGCAAGCCCCTGGCCTTGTGAGCATGGGACTGTTCCCTGGGTCCTCCAGAGCCCATAGCAGCTGGAGCTGCTCCCCAAAGTAATCCTTAAACTTTGTTGACTGAGCTTTTGCCAGTTCCAGCAGGGTTTGATTCCCATGTTCTTTTGGGCTCCTCTCTATCTCTAAGTAGGTGCAGATAGCCTGTTTCTCTGAAGGAAGCCAAGCAGGGTTGCACATCTGCTAGCTCTTAGATAGTGTCTGCATAAACTTGGGGAGGACCCAGTGAGGGACTTTGCCAAAGGCAGAGGCTTGTTCTCAGTGTACATATGGATTGTCCCAGTGTTAGATGAATTTCCTGTGGAACTGTTTATTAACCAAGAAGATAGAGCATCCTGTTTCAGGTTTTTTTCAGAACTTCAGAGCCCTCTATCAGTTTTTCCATTTAAAAAATGTGAATAATGGAGGTTTCTGCATAAATAGGGTTATAAATTATAATGTCTGGAATGTGGCTTTAAACTCAAATGGACTTGAACTTGCAGCCACAGTCTGCTGCTCACATATGTTGGGCAAGTTACACCACCTCTTTGTCCCAGTTTTCTCTTTGGTCTAGTGGGAATCTTACCTTCCTTATTGGGTAGCTGCGAGGATTCTGGAAAATGTTATAGAAAATGGCTGGCACATAGTAGGTAAAACACCAAGCAACGGCTGAGCAGAGTGGCTCATGTCTGTAATCCCAGCACTCTGGGGCTGAGATGGGTGGATTGCTTGAGAATCAGGAGTTTGAGGTTGGTGTGAGCTGTGATGCCCAGACACTGTACCCGGGGAGGGGGCGGGGGGAAGAAAGAAAGAAGAATCAAAAGCAATGTCTTCGGCCAAATATGTAATATATTCAGGTAATGAAATATTATGCAGTAGTAAACATAAAGGAATTAGCTCTATATATGTCAGTGTGGATTGCTCTCACAAACATAAAAAGTATGTTTAGAGTGATACATTTATGTGAAGACTAAGAAGATCATGTGAACAATGCTAGAGATCATGAAGACATATGCTGTGTAAGAGGAGGGCTGCATGGTGAAGAGCCCTGCTTTCTCGGTAGTGGTCACCTGATGGGAAGAGAGGATGGACTGGGAGTAGGTACCTCAGGGCTTCCACTGTTCTGCAGAGTTTTCTTTCTCAGACTAGCTGATGGGTACATCAGCCCTTATTGTGCTATCGATGTTTCTGTATATTTAGAATATTTCTTTAAAAAAAGAAAATACATTTTCCTGTGGGTTACTGACTATGCAGGAGTAGTTTAGTATGTAAAATTAAATTGGTTGCAGAATAAGACAGAGTATCTGGGCCCAAGTGTTGGCCACATAAAAACAATGGAAGCATGGGCAACACTTTCAAGGGAGCAGGGTTTCAGAGTAAGGGTGTGTTTTAGGAGATAAATTTCAGTATACAGTAATTCCTTTTGATCTGTAGAAGTAAAAATGTTATGGTAATAAAAGTAGAAATTAGCACTTTATCTTTCTTTTCACCTTTCCAGTCTAAGAACTGATTGCCATAAGCTTTCATGCTTGCTTCATTTTAGGGCTACCCAGCCACAGTGGAGCCCCTGATTCCCCAGGATTATAGATTAGTGAGTATTTAGCTTTATTCAGAATTCAGCCAATTGGATGTAACAGATACCATTTGTTTTTTTTGACAGATTGGTTAAAAAGTAAAGAAAAATCAGCCTCTTCTTTCATCATATGTTTCTTGTTTTACAGCATTTTTCAGCCTTCTCTGGAGAAGCTGTGGTATTGTTGGGTTTTTCCAAAATGTTTTACTGCTTGAGTCTTAATGAAAACTGATACTGGAATTTCTGTGTAAACTCTATCCTAAACTCAGGGATCTGGTCTAGTGCTGAATTTTACAGATGAGGGACTGGAAGCCAGAGAGGGTGTGTGATTTGTCTGAGAGCATAAAACTAGACTGCCCTCTTAGACAGCAGAGACTCGGGAACAGTGGGTGTTCAAAAGGTGAGGTATTTATCTTGTTGTGAAGTAGCTAGTTTGTTTTGTCTGTTCTGACAAGTCCACCTTTTTTGACTTTGAAATGCAGATATTTGGGGCGGCGCCTGTGGCTCAAAGGAGTAGGGCACCAGCCCCATATGCCGGAGGTGGTGGGTTCAAACCTAGCCCCCGCCAAAAACTGCAAAAAAAGAAAAAAGCAGTTATTTTGGATTAGCTATGACTTAGTGATTCTTCCTTTTAATGCAGGATGACTGTCCTTTTCATGCATTAAGTCAGTACCAGGGACATTTTACTGCCCGATTCTTTCCCAGGATGGATAGTACCTTTTCTGGGCATTGGAAAGTGCTGCAAGGATCTGGTAGAAGATGATGATTTCTGTGTATGTATAGAGTGCCAGAGGCATGGTGGGAACCTTTCTGGGATCAAGGCCCCTAGAGTGTGTGACTGACTGACAGTAAAGCTTGAATAACCCTGCTCTTCCAGACCTCTGCAGCCTCTGGAGCAAGGAGCATTGTCAGATTGTTAGCACATGAATTTCCCCTCCCTCTTCCCCCCTCTCTTACAGGCATTTGGCTCTCCAATGGACATGTGTGTTGGTTTCCACGTCACACATATCTGAACAGCTGTACAGCCCTATTCTTAACCCTTGTTTGTGGGAAGGACGCACATTCTCTGGTGTTGAAACTGCTCGTAGCTTAATGGCAAGCATTTGTTAGCTTGGGTAATCATGGTGTGTTCACAACAAAATAGATGTGGTGAACCAACCTTCCTTGCTATATACAGTAGTTCTGCTAAGCCATTCTGTCCTGGGGCATCTGCTCAGGAGTCTTCAGGCATTATTTAACTTTTTAAATTATAGGGACTTAACTTTTCCTGGCTTCCCAATCAGTAAGTTCTTCAAAGGCAAGTACAGGGTCATGCTCCTGATATCACAGTGGCTTTTCTTCCCCCATGGCTTCTCTCACAGTCTTCATTATAGGAGAGTCTCCACCCTATTTTCTGCCCACCAGACAGTTGTAAGTTCTCTGAGGACTGCTCTTTGTATCCTCAGCTCCAGAGCACCATCTGGCACAAAGTGGGGACTGAATGTTGTGTCCCTGCAAAATTCATATTTGAAACTCTTACTCCCAGTGTGATAGTACTTGAAAGCAAGGTCTTTGGGAAGTAATTAGCTCATGAGGGTAAAGGCTTCATGAATGGGATAAATGCCCTTATAAAAGATATCCAAGAGTGATGCTCTCTGTCTCTCTCTCTGTATCTTTGAGGATACAGCAAAAAGGTATATCCTCTGCAAACCAGGAAGAGGTCCTTAACAAGAACTGCATTGGCCAGCACCCTGATTTTGGGTGTCTTAGACTTCAGAACTGAGGAATAAATTTCTGTTGTTTAAGCCACCTAGCCAATGGTATTTGTTATAGTAACCTGAACTAAGGCAAGGCACCCAGGTGGACATTTGTTGAAGGAATAAATAGAAGGTGGTCACCCAGTAAGCACTGCTTTTGGTATGAACTGTGACCTTTTAGAAGTGATCAGCCGGAACACTCTTACTGTAAGAGTGTTGTAAGATTGTATTGTAACATTGTATTAAATGGCATTCTTGCTTTGTGTCAGGGAGGTGGCAGCCATTCAGTGAGTGCCCTCTGAATGTACCAGAAATCCAAAAGAGGGTTTTGACTCACCATTCCCTAGAGGAGGAAGATTATAGGCAGCACCTGTATTTTCAGCTTTCTTATATTTCATGCCACAGGCAAGACTGTGAGGACACAGTAACAGCAGCAGTTAGCTTTAAATGTAAAGGGTCATAGAGTAAATATTTTTGCATGTTTTGCAGTCCATGCCATCTGTCATTACTCTGCTGTTGTAGTACAGAAACAAATCACAGAATGAGTATACCTGTGTTCTAATATTTATTTATGGACTCTGAAATTTGAATTTCATATAATTCTCATGTTTTACAAAGTATTTTGATTTTGATTTTTTTTTAACCATTT